CAAGTCTTGTGCACTATACTGTATACATAAGACAACTAATAGCACTTGCATACTCAAGTTGAGCCACTGCTCTTACACCATTCTTGAAAAGTTTTGCACTAGGATCAAATGGAGTACTGACTTCCTTTATCTTTAAATGACTGAACTTATTCAACACTTTTTCAATGTAGTGTGATTGGGTTAGAGCGTAACCCCCACTATTCAGTCTAACTTTGATACCCAGTATTGTATCCATTTCACTAAGATCTTTCATCGTGAATGTGGATGATAGAAACCTCTTTGTTTCTCCTATGCCTTTCATGTCATTGCTCACAATTAGCATATCATCAACATAGAGACATACAAATATAATACACTTATTACACACCTTTGTATATAGCTGAATCAAATTGTTCATGTCATTGTTTTGGTGCTTGTTTCAATCCATATAATGATTTTACAAGTTTACATACTTTATGTTCATTTTCCGGTAGAACAAAACCTTCTGGTTGTCCCATATAGACCTCCTCATCGAGATCACCATTTAAGAATGCCGTCTTGGAATCCATTTGATAAACATAAAGACTACGGATAGATGCCAATGCAAATAATATCCTAATAGTCGTTATTCTTGCTACAGGTGCATATGTATCAAAATAGTCAATTTCTCATTTTTGTCTATACCCTTTGGCTACCAACCTAGCCTTAAAAATGTTTAAAGTACCATCAGTATGATACTTTCCCCTAAACACCCATTTACAACCAATAGGTTTAGAACCCGGTGGTAAATTGACAAGCTCCTAAGTGTGGTTTGATATTATTGAATTCATCTCATCAGTGATAGCATCCTTCCAAAAGGCCGAATCCCTAGAAGCCATCACTTCCTTAAAAGTTTTAGGATCATCCTCCACTTGTAATATCATAGAATTTTCCTAGTGACATTACATCCACTTCCTTCTATTAAGTAAAAGGAAATAAGCTAAGAATGATCAATCTCATCCGATCCCAAACTTTTCTCTATACGGATTCTCTTCCTTCTTCTTGGCTCAATAGGATGTTCATTGATCTTTGAAGATGTCTCCTCACGAGATTCTTCATATGTAGAACTTTGAGACTTGTCCTTATTCACCAATAAGTCTTCAAAGAATTCTACATCTCTTGATTCAACTATCACATATGATTCAACTATCAATGTACATTGGACTCCAAGTTCAAGAGTCTATGTGCCTTGCTATTTACCGTACAACCTACAAAGGCACACCTAATCCCTCTAGGACCTAGCTTCGTCCTTTTAGGATCGGTGTTCTTGTAGTAAGCAAGACACCCCCACACTTTGAAATACCCTATATTGGGTTTTCTTCCTCTCCATATCTCATATGGAGATGTTTTATTTTTCTTAGAATGAGTTCTATTGAGAATATGACATGCACTAAGAAGGGCTTCACCCCAAAAATTAAAGGGCAATTTAGAATGCAATAACATAGCATTAATCATCTCAAGAAAAATTTAATTTTTTCTCTCAACTAAACCATTTTGTTTAGGTGTTCTAGGTGCAGAACATTCATGTATTATGTCATTTTCTTCACAACATGTATTAAAATTATTTGGAAAGTACTCACCTCCTCTATCACTCCTAAGAGTTTTAATTTTCCTTCCCAATTGATTTTCTACTTCCACTTTATATATCTTAAATGCATTAAAGGCTTCCTCTTTATGTTTCAATAAATAAACATATGTATACCTAGATGCATCATCTATGAAAATAATGAAATAACGATTACCACCTCTTGTAATCATTCCATTTAATTCACAAATATCGGAATGCACTAATTCTAATAATTGTGAATTTCTTTCAACACTATGAAACGGTTTCTTTATCATTTAGATTTAACACATATTTCACATTTTTTAAAAATTATCAACATCACAATTCAATAATCCACACTTGATCAATCTTTTCATAGTTAATATACTAATATGGGCTAATCTACCATGCCACAAAGAAACAGAATCAACCATATAAGCGGAATCAACATTTTTATTACTAAAATTGTCAATAGTACATAGTTTGACCATTCCCTCACTGGAATAGCCTTTTCCAACAAAAGAACCATTTCGGGACAAGATTAAATTGCCCGACTATACACAGCCTTAATCTCAGGCTTACCCAAAAGATCCCCACTAATTAGATTTCTATTCATATCGGGTACATAAAGTACATTGGCTAGAGTGATTTTCTTCCCAAAAGTGAATGCAAGTTCCACACTCCTTTTGCCAAGCACTTTGGAACAGAATTCAATCCCCATTTGAATCTCTTGTCCATTACTCACCTCTTGGAATGTTTTGAATAGATTTATCATAAGAAACATGAGCGGTAGCCTAAGTGTCATACCACCATCTGGGAACCTTACCTTGTACCGCATTGATTTCACTCACAATAACGACAATCTCTTCCTCCTCAATAGAGTTCACCTTAGCCTCATCGCTAGGCTTCTTTTTGTAGTGACAATCTCTTGCATAGTGTCCCGCTTTGCCACACACAAAGCATGCTCCCTTGGGTTTCTTATTGGCTTGTGTCTTTTTGAATTTGTCTTGATCCTTTTTAGGACCCAAATTCTTGTTCTTGTTGGTTTGTGAGGGCTTAGTCACGGCATTGGCTTTGGAAATACCCTCATAAAAATTTTCATTCTTATCTCTTGCCCTTTACTCCTCTTCGATCCGAAGACGTTTTTGTATGTGCTCCAACAAAAAATCTTCATAACTATGCAAAATCTTCTTTCTATATCCTTTCCAAGTATAAGGCAATTTAGCAATAATTACTCCTACTTGAAATGATTCAAGAAGTTCGATTTTCATAGCCCTCAACTTATTAACAATCACTTGCAATTATGCACTTGTGGTAAAATTGGTTTATCATCAGAAAACTTAAAATCAAAATACTTTGTAATTAAGAATTTCTTGGTACCTTCCTCTTCCGCTTTGTATTTGAACTACAATGCATTCCATATCTCTTTTTCTGAAGATGTATTGGTGTAGAGATCATAGAGACAGTCGGAGAAAGAATTGAGAATGTGGCAACGACATATCAACTCATCCTCCTCTCGTTTCTTTTGTTCCGCCTTGAACGCTTCAATGTCGTCATCGGATGGTTCGGGAATGGGCTCCAAATCTGGACTCAAAATGTGGAAGATCTTCAATGCAGTCAAGTGAAACTTCAATTTGTCCTGCCACCTTGTAAAGTTAGTCCTATCAAAGCAATCCAATTTAACCAAGTCTTGGTTCATCAATTTGATGGTGGCGATAGTAGTTTCGGTCTCCATTGCAGAAATTTACGCTTTATGATTGTTGGAAATCTTGAGGAAAATGAGACTTGAAACACGTAGAAAGTATGCTTTCCTTAAAGCGTAATTTGCCCCCTCTCATTAGAGATTGCTTCGGGTTCTCGGTAAATCGCTCGCAGGATATGACAAGCCTTTAAGTTGTTAATTACAAGCAAAATGATCACAACACTAAGAACACCATAACTCTTTTTTCTGGAAATTTTGAACAAGAAGAGATAAGAATTGTAGAGAATTTTTCTCTATATAATTTTCAAGCAATTCTTGTTCTTTTTACAGTTTTTATCACACCAATACGTACAGACACAATCAAACTTGAAAAGGCACATTTTCCATTTGAATTGGTGTCAATTCAAGTTTTAAAAACATGTATGATCGAATATAACTGTTACGGCGCTACAGCGGAATGTTTTGGGCGCTGCAGTACCAATTTCTGGCAAACCAAAAATTGTACACGCAGCGCCCATCACTGGCGCCGAAGCACCCTACCTACTGGAAATGACATCCATTCTAGCGCCGAAGCGCTCTACCTACTGAAAATGATGTCCATTCCAGTGCCGCGGCACCCAAACTTGGCACCGAAGCGCCGTGCCTACGTGCATTAATACCCCTTAAACGCAGAGAATGCAAAGTGCATCTATGTGTGATAAAACTCAACAAATTCTTATGTGTTATATTTAAAAAATCCCAACAATTAGTTTACTTGTGTATATTGTAGCATAAATCTCGGACTTTGGGAGAGAGTAAAATCGCAAGAACATGAAGGTTCTTAACACATAAAAAGGAAAGAAATATAAAATTATTATATATATAATATTTGGTATATGTTTCTTTTGGACCTGTAACGCGGATTGTGTACGGCTGTCGTTTATGCAAACCAAACCATGACATTGGTTCACTCCAACTACGCGGATTCGTGTAATAGTTAGTAGTGGAATGTCACTTATGAGAAGGCAAAAAAAAAAAAATATATATATATATATATATATCTTTTTGCTTGATTACCAAATTGCCCCTCAAAACATGCCTGTATAACTGAATATTACAATAGTATTGGGTAGCATGATGATACATGGCTATGTCGAAATCACTTGTAGCTTTAATTCTGTTTCACCTCTAACGCCACAAGATTTTGACGTATAGGGAATTTACTGTTTTGCCCTTGTGTCATTAGGTTTATCTAGGTTTGAAATTTTACTAATTGTGTCAGGATTTAAAATAAAGCTAATCCCTAAATTCTATCCTAAGCACAAGCATTTGCTAGAGAGGGCAAGAAAATTAAGCAACTAAACAAAGTATTTTCTTTTAATGAGGAAGCTACTAAACAAAATAGTTAGAGAAGTTAAAGAAAAGAGGATGTTTAGGTATTTTCTAATCACGTGAGATTAGGATAGAAGAGTAGATACAAAATATATAAAAATAAAAATCCACAAAATGGGAACTAGTGGGGGACCATTGAGTTTCATTTACTTTATTGACTCTTGCATTTTGTCAGACTAGGATATTCATCCAATCCTTGCTCTCCCATAGACATACATGTATACATATATATATATACATATATATATACATACATATATATATACATATATATATATATATACATACATATATATATATTAATTTTTCTCATTTTATAAACCCTTCCAATCAAACAATCTCTTATAATGTTATATAATTAGCTTTCTCCTTCTCCTATATATGCTATTTACATTCCCCATCTAAAACAGACACACCAACTTCCTCACATCCCTCCAAAACCCTATAAATCTAGTTATAACTCTCCAATGGAGGCAATGACCAAGAAACAAACTTGTGCCCACCTCTCAACTTCACCACCACCATCACTGGCGATTCACAAAGCTTCACACACGATATCAAAAGCCAAGCCCAAGATTCGGATAATTCACATATTTGCGCCGGAGATCATCAAGACCGACGTCGCAAACTTCCGCGAGCTGGTGCAAAGACTCACTGGGAAGCCGACCGAGAAAGACGGCAAGAAGATAAAGCAAATCAGAAGCATTCCCACAAGAGGAGAAGATCAAGATGATGATCATGATCCCAAAAACAAAACCTTCCCAAGCAAGCCTTTGGCTAAAAGAGCAGATACGACGGAAATTGGATTGCTAGGTCTTGATCATATTGTGAGAGAACAAAGGATTAAGGAAGAAGATCAAGAAGCAGAAAAAGAACATGGGAATACGTGGATTAATGGTCATGATCAGAATATTAATTCAGGTGGGTTCTTGGAGAGGTTTGCAGATTTGGAAGGGTTTATTGAGGAGCTTAATCATGAATTCCCTTTGTTTCCTTCTTTGATTAATCCTTTGGAGGCTTCTAATTCTCATGTGCAATTTGGGTTTGGAGGACCTCAACTTGCTTAGTACTATTACGTACGATCTATATCTAACTATGGTTTCACTTTTTCTTTTCTTTTCTTTTCTTTTTTTTTTCCAACACAAAAAGAAGAAAATTTGAGGGCTCTGATCAAGTATACTTTCTATGGGGTTTTAAGAGGATATTTGGATGCATTGGTTCTACATTCTATGGAATCGTTAATCCGGCCGTTGTGATTAACTAATGTTCTAATGTGATTCTGATATGATTTTCATCTGTCAATATTAAGCGTTGAATTTTTACAAATACTTCTTTTCCTTGATTATTTACAGAGATAATATTGTCGCAATACCCCAAATTATGTTTGTTGTTAATTTGTTTATTTAATTCAGTTTATTTATTTATTTATTTTTGTGAGGGATTCAGTTTTCTTATTAGGGTTTTTAATTTGTTTCTTTCTTCTGGATGTGGCTCTGAATTTGTCCCTTGTACACGCTGGTCTCTCTCTTTCTAGACTCTAGTTCTGAAGAGTTGGCAAACAAAACAAGAACGTGCAAAAAACTAATTAGCCAATGGAAATTGTATTGCTTTACTTGCAAGAGTTAATAATTAATTGTGTACTATTTTTAAATATTCAATCATCATTTGTTGTATTACAGAAGTCGTCTTCCACTTGTCATGTTGTTAGCGTTTATATAAACATCTGTTTATTTAACAAGCACATCTCGTGGAAATCATTAATATCAGATTCATCTTTCCAAGTTTAGCTAGTACTTCTCACTAACATATTTCTTTAAATATACAACTTGAAATATTTTATATATAAAGAATTGTAATAAATCAATTTATTTTTGGTTCAAGTTCTGCCTAGTTGGCAAATAAATTGACATGAGAACCTCATAGGGCAGTATAAAATGGAGATTATGCATTAACAGGATTGATTATTCATCCAAATAAATATAATTATGATTTCTCAAACTTATTTTTTTTCTCACTTGCTGATAATATACATTATGATTTGTGAACCAACTTAAAAAATGCGTTGGTCGTTTGTTAGTTTGAAAATCATATCAGCAATTTTGTCAAGGATGCAACAAATATTTCTTTTTGGATTTTCATGTTTGTGGTGACAGGAAATCTATTTGACTGCTATCACAAAGAAGATGTAAATCATATAATTGATAAAAATATAACTGCATTTATTTAATCTAGGTTATAGTTTACTATTTCATAAGATATACGCAAGTTTGCAGCTGAGGGTTAACAATATATAACAAATTTGGCGTGGAAACAAGGCATTTTACAATTTATATATTTAACGTGGAAACAAGGCATATTACTAGTCAACAACTTTTTGGAGAAACTTTATTTGCAAATTGTAATATTAAACTGAAAAGATGCACGAAAAACATTGGCCTTCCACAGCTGAAACTTAAAATAGGATGTAAAATTGATCAGATTCATAGTATCAATATTGCAACATGTTTCTTTCTTTCTTTTATATTATTAATAATTAGAACATTACATACGTGTTGGTGTCATGTCTTTCATCCGTAACTACAGTAAACAAAAAACAAAAACAAAACAAAACAAAAAATGGAGGACTCTAACCAAGAATGTTAGCGTGTAAATTACGCTTGGTGCCGTCCGTTTTTAATTATTCACTCGTATCAATTTCAAAGAAAAAAATTTCACCCATATCGTATTTGTGTACATTATGCTTATATTTTTTCCACACAAAAAGTATTGTATTCATTATGATTTACACAAATATTGCTGCCTTGGAAAACTATACGCATGCTTCAAGCTATAATAATTTTTGTGCAAATTAGGCTTATATTTTCATATCCACCTGTTTACTTAATCCGTGTGTTCAAACGGAGCTGAATTTGGCAAGCGTGCGTGTGCACAACTATAATTTCTTTTAAGTTATTTTTTATTCGGCACAAATTTTGTGAGGCATTGCATACATAACCAATTATTTTTTGGCACTTAAACCAGTCATCACCACTAATTATGTACTAGGCGCACCAGACAGGTGACAACAAAAGCATATTACTACTACATGGTAAACTGCAAGACATACGACATCTTACGGGGACATACGACATCCTTCAATGGAGAAATGGTTCAAATTCAAAGGGCAACAAAGCTATAACCTGTCTAAAAGCTACTGTAGGACAGACGTAACCAATCTTCTCAAAAGTTGCAATCTGTAAAAGAGGCGCACTCAGGACCACTCCTGAGAGCGCATTTTTACGGACTCTAGCCGTTTAGCCCTTTCTTCAAAGACCCTTAAAGATAGGCTCGAGCCTTTTGTCGAGGCCTGGGACCGCATGAAAAATGAAATTAAGAGATTTTAAGCCACTATGAGACTATGAGATGTGGTTCTCCGTAAGATCTCTTAGGTAAAAGGATACATTTCCTAGTCACCATGAAAATAATGATTGACAAAGTAAAACAATACATTTTTCTTGTGTTTTTTTTTTTTTTACTCTAGAGATTTCCGTCGATAAAATTAGCCAGCTGTTGGAAATTCTGACAAGTAAATTTCAAGTACTGGGCGTGCTGGGATGACGATGCAAAAGCTCACAATTTGTCAAATCTGTGACAACAGTGAAAATGAAGACTCAACGGAGAAGAGAGAGAGAGCAAAGGAGTTCTTCAATGGGCCAATGGTAAGACTACATACAATGATACAAACAAATGATACAAACATGACGAAATAGCAAGGGCACTTTTAAAAAATACCTCTTGAATTTTTTTATTTACTTTTAGATTAGAATTAATTATAAGATAGAGTTTTTTTAAAAAAATACTTTTAATAAATTAGGTATTTAAAGAGATATAATATGTAATTTTCTCAAATAGAAATTTCTTTCCGCCGCCCATTTTCACCAAAAAGAAAGAAAAACTCCAATAAAAAAATGAATAAATAAAAATCAAAGTACACAAAAAGTAAAAAAAAAAAAATGCATTTTCAAATAGAACAAAGTAAAGAAGAAAAAAGGCGGCTCTCTAGGTGATATAAGAGGCAAGGTTGGGATGCGGAGAGACAGCAAAGAAAATTTCAGTCAAATACCATGGCACCAAAGTCAATTGTGTTCATATTACTAACTACGGACCCATGTTTAATATCTTTAATATATTTTGCATCTATCTAGTTAACCACTTGCTTATTAAAAGTAGGAAAACAATACAACCTAAAATATTAGGTGAGAATTGGATTATTGTCAAATAAATCAAGTCTTCTAAATTTATCGTTCCAGTCAATTGACTTGCACTACACAAACACGGAAAGTTCGAATGATTTATGAAGTATCGAAGATTTTTCTCATTCTTATTTTTTAGTTTTTTTTTCAAGTATTCAGAATACAGGCGAAGATAACAAGGGGAAGGAAGAAAACGAGAGAGATCAAATGAGAATTTGAATTCTAATTGAAGAGGGGGAAAAATCAGTTTCATACATGAAAGAGTCATTAGCTTTCATACTCTGTAATGGACTCTGCCAAGGGAGATGAGGGTGCATCTAGCCTTGTGAGGACCTCAGGGACTCCACTGGTATCTCTTATTATCTGCAAAAAACCAACATGAAAATGTTGGCTAAGAATTTTTCAAGTCTAGGAAAATGTGTCTCGTCATCCCTGTATATCTTTATTAAGCACCTATATCTACTAAGCATAATGTCACGTCATAAAATCCATTCATGAGGGGAAAACATAGTTATGAAATAAGACCATCGCCAGTAGTCCGTTTTCGGCTCATCTTGTTTAGTATGGGTATTTCCATATCCCAGCTTGTGACTAATCACGAGACATGAAGAATATAAATAACCATCAAAAAGTAAAGATTCCAAAAATAATAACGAAAAAACCTGCTACATGAAATTTCGGTGCTCTTCAAATTTAGAAACTGTAATGTTTCAAGTCCTAACGAACAATAGTAGGTTAAGCTAAAATTCTTTGCAAGCATACAGGCGAATAGTAACCTTGAGCTAAATATAAGCCATAATCACACAGCCGTAATACTAGACAAAGGTGCTGAGCTAAATGGCTCAAGAGTAGTTTTACATGTTTGAAGTCACACACCCAATGCATATGGTTGCGGATAACAAGGGATTAAAAATCCTGAAAACAATGGCCTGCTAGGTCAGATTTATTTTTTAGGATTAATCTCCCCTAAATTTTAGAGTCATTCCCACTTTGCCCCCTAAAGTATGAAAGCTCTCATTTTGCCCCATAAATTTTGAATTGTCCCATTGAAGCCCTTTTGTAAGAATATCTGTTAAAATCAGATAGAAAAAGAGGGGTTAAGTGAAGCTATGTCATTTTTATCTGTTTGATTTTAATAGAATTTCAAATAGAAAGACCACATGACTACATTACTCTCTTTTTATCTACTTGTTTTTAACAAAAATTACAATAGAAGCGGTTAAGTGGGAACAATTCAAAGTTTAGGGGGCAATGTGAGAGTTTTTAAAGTTCATGAGGTAAATTGGGAATGACTCTAAAGTTCAAGGGACACTGGTGATAATAATCCTATTTTTTACATCGTAATACAAATTAGTTAAGAATCTATAATTTTCATATTGAGGTATAACATACTAGACCTTATCATTAAGACTATATCCATTCGATAACTTCATTTAAATTTCTAATACTATCTCTAAAGGAGAATGGGACATATACTTTCTTTCATCAACTCCAGTATGAGCCAAGATCATTAGACAAATGCGTGCATCATGGGCCGAGGCTGCGTAAGCAATAATGTATTTATTCACCATGCATTCTAGATGAACAATATATTTGTTTCTCCACAAAGGTTTGGATTACTTGGAACTATTTTCAATATCATAAGACCAGATCTATCGAGTAGCAATTTCACACAGTAATGCAAGTCAATGGAATTTGATTAAAGTTGAATTAAGAGAAACTGCACTGAAAGAAGAAATACAAGAGATATGGGGGTGTTCGAGCGACCCCTTGCACTCCCTAGAGCAATAGCTCGTCTAAGACAACTCAATTACAACTTCGATACCCCTCCAGCCTATTTCCCTCTGGTTTTATTCTTCTCTTCCTCACTAACCGTTTCTACTCTCCCCTCTCCCGAGGTCTCTCTCTCTCTCTCGATCTGGGCTTATTACACCCTTTCTGCAGCAACTCCTTCTCCAGCTTTGCTTGCTCATTCCATGTCAGCCTCCACCTCACCATTTCCCTCAACACCTTTTTCTGCCACATCACCTCGATTGCCTTTGGGCCTCCTCCTAGCGTAAGTGAAACGTAGTGGAGGTCTAGGTGGCCCATCAATACCCCCGGCCCAAAGATGCACCTTGTCTGCAAGGTGAAAATCTAGAAATGCTGCGTGAATGCGGTTGAAACTCTGCCAGATGTCCTCATGATCTGGCAGGTGCTCCCAGTGAAAAAGGACTTCTAACTCCGTTGTAGACCCACGAGAGGCTTGGCGAACGCCCCGCAGTGCAGCTGGCTGAACTTGGAGTACCATATCAGGGGTGAGCTGGGGCGGAAGAGCAGCATTCGTAATGCTAGCCCCTACTGCCCGGCGTAACTGGGAAAACATGGAAGATAGGGTGGATGGCCGCAGAAACAGGTAGCCGCAGCCGGTAAGCAACGCGGCCTATCTTGGCCAGGACAGCATATGGTCCGTAGAAGCGAGGCGCGAGCTTCTCATTCCGACGTTGCGCCAGCGATTTCTGCTGATAGGGCCGAAGTTTGAGGTACACCAAGTCGCCCACCTCAAAGGAAACCTCACGGCGAGAACCATCTGCCCGAAGCTTCATCTTTTGTTGAGCGCGCAACAGCAGTTGCTTCAGGAGGTCTAAGGTGGCGTCGCGATCCGCCAGTTGCTGGTCGACAGTGGCCACAGGGGAGAACCCGAGACCGTAACGCACCAGGGGGGTCACGACCGTAAAGTGCCCGGAAGGGAGTCATGTGGGTGGCGGTATGGAATGAGGTATTGTACCAATACTCTGCCCAAGGAAGCTACTTTGACCACTGGCGAGGCGTGTCGGATGAGAAACACCACAAATACGTCTCAAGGCACCTATTCACCACTTCGGTCTGCCCATCCGTTTGGGGATGATAGGCTGTGCTCCGGGCTAGCATTGAACCTTGCTGTTTGAACAATTATGTCCAAAATTTGCTGAGAAAAATCCTATCACGATCAGACACAATAGAACGGGGGATTCCATGCAACCAGACCACCCCGCGAAGGAACTCAGCTGCCACTGTTGTGGCAGTGAAAGGGTGTTTGAGCGGGATGAAGTGAGCATACTTGCTCAGGCGGTCAACCACGACAAGAATGGCCTCGTACCCCTCTGATTTGGGCAGCCCTTCAATGAAGTCCATCAAGAGGTCGTCCCACACTCTGTCGGGTAGGGGAAGGGGCTGTAACAATCCCCCGGGGGCTAAGGTGTCGTACTTGTGCTATTGGCACACTCTGCACTTCGCGACGTAAGTCTCCACGTCCCGCTTCATGCCAAACCAATACCAATCGGCCGCCAAGCATCGGTATGTTTTGAGCACGCCCGAGTGGCCCCCTGCCACCCCATCATGGTACGTGCTTAACAATCCAGCCACTAAACTTGAATCACGTGAGAGTACTATCCGTCCCTCTCTCATGAGGCGACCTTGCTGCAAGGAAAAACCCAGATGTGACGCTGAGTCGGCCATGAGGTCTTCAACCATCCATTAGAGCTTGTCATCCGAAGCGGTTTGGCGTGTGAGCTCCTCTAGATCAAGCTCAATGGGGGCCGAAAGGAGCTGGAGTTCCACTGCTTAGGGCAGGCACGAGAGTGCGTCCGCTGCCTTATTCTCCAGACCAGGGCGATAGTGAATCTCAAAGTCAAAACCCAACAACTTGGACAGCCAATGCTGATGGTTCTCATTGACTACCCGCTGATCTAGCAAGAATTTCAGGCTCTTTTGGTCGGTGCGAATAATGAAATGCCTGCCTAGAAGATATGGACGCCACTTCTAAACTGCCAGCACAACAGCCATAAGCTCCTGTTCATATACTGACTTTAGGCGAGAAGTGCTAGAGAGTGCTTGGCTGAAGAAGGCGATGGGGCGTTGGTCTTGCATCAAAACCGCTCCAATCCCTACGCCTGATGCATCCGTCTCAATCACAAACTCGCGAGTGAAGTCGGGTAGTGCTAGTACCGGTACAGTGGTCATGGTCGTCTTGAGCTTTTGGAAAGCCTCTGCGGCTTCCTCTGACCAAAGGAAGCTGTCTTTTTTGAGGAGATTTGTTAGCAGCCAAGCCATTGCTCCATATCCCCTAACAAATTTCCAGTAGTAACCAGTTAAGCCAAAGAACACCCTGAGCTCCCGAAGGTTAGTAGGCACCTGCCAACTCAGCATGGCAGCGATCTTAGCTTTATCTGCGGCCACCCCTTCGTCAGAGATGATATGGCCCAGGTACTCCAAAGTTGTCTGCCCGAAGCAGCACTTCTTGGCGTTTGCATACAGGTGATGCTTGGATACCTTGTCCAGGTGCAGGGCGTGCTCTTCCAGGGATTGGCTATACACCAAGTTATCATCGAAAAACACCAACACAAATTTCCGGAGAAAGTGCGAAATACCTCGTTCATGAGAGACTGGAAAGTCGCTGGAGCATTGGTGAGCCCAAGGGGCATGACCAAAAACTCGTAATGCCCCCTCGTGGGTGCGGAACGCCATTTTCGGCACATCCTCGCTGCGCACTCTAATTTGGTGGTAGCCCGATTTCAAGTCAATCTTCGAGAAGATGGAGGCGCCATGCAATTCGTCGAGGAGCTCATCTATCACTGGTATAGGAAAACGATCCGGAATAGTCTCGCGATTCAAGGATCAATAATCAACGCAAAACCGCCAACTTCCGTCTTTCTTTTTAACGAGGAGGACTGGGCTAGAAAACGGGCTGACGCTAGGCTGTATGATGCCCGCGGCAAGCATCTCCCCCACTAGTGTCTCAATCTCGTCTTTTTGTGCTTGCGGGTACCTATACGACCGGACATTAATTGGTGAGGTCCCGGCCTTCAATGGGATGCAGTGATCCCGTGACCGCGGCGGGGGAAGGTCGGACGACACTTGAAAAACAACGCCATGTTTCTGCAACACAGCTTGCAGGTCGGATGAAACCTGGTCTGTCCCTTCCCACCCCACGTTCACCCTCGGCCAAAATCATTCCCAATTCTACCCAGAAGCCCTGCCCCTCATGCTTCAGTGCCCATAACATACTTTTCAGGGAAACAGGGGACTTACAAAGGCCTGGACCCCCCTGTACAACCACCGGTGTCTCACCAATCTTAAACTTCATCGAGAGGGCTCTCCAATTAAAACCGCCACCGCCCCAAGCGTCTCTAACCACTGCATTCTGAGGATCACGTCCGCGCTGCCCAGTTCTAAAGGAAGGAAGTCTTCCACGATTTCGACATCCTGCACCGATATACTCCTCGGCACACGCCTTTTCCCTTGACCGTGAGGCCAGTTCCCATCACCACCCCATACCCGCCAGTGGTATCCAGTCCCAAATCCAATCTTTTCACCAGTTCTGTGGAGATTAAGTTGTGGCTAGCTCCACTATCGATTAGGATTACCACCTCAATCCCCTTAATCCGCCCCTTGAGTTTCATCGTTCGTGGTGCAGTCAATCCCACCACTGAATTCAACGACAGCTCCACGAGCTCTTCAGCCAATGCATCCTCCCACGCTTCCGCTCCGGGCTCACTGGTCTTCTCGCCGTCATCCTCCTCGCCACAGACCACCAGGACTTACAGCTCCTTGTTGGGACAACGATGACCCAATGAATACTTACCATCACAGCGATAGCACAACCCTTTATCCCTCTTTGCTTGTAGCTCGGCATCTATGAGGCGGCGGAAAGGAGGTGACAGAGCACCCACCTGCTTCTCAGTCGGTTGTGTGTAACGTGGCTGGACAGTAGGCCCGTAACGTGTTGCTGCAGCTGGAGGAGCAAGAGAGTTTCTGGCCATGGTCCTTGTGAGCCCATTGGTCCCCTAGTGGACTTAAGTTGTAAATTCATATCTTCCACTCTTTGGGCCAACTCCATAATCCGGCCCAGCCCAGTTGGTTTGAGCATCCTGATTTCAACCCGTACGTCTGGCTTCAGCCCTTTAATGAAATTCCCCTCCAAGACCTGCTCTGGAATTCCCGCTAGCGGCGCCGCCAGAACTTTGAACTGCCGACAATACTCCCGCACGGGGGTTTCTTGCCGAAGTGCGAGGAACTTCTCGTGTAAACTTCCCTCTTGTGTTGGCCTAAACCGATCCAGGATCATCCGTTTAAGGTCCCCCCAGTCACGGATTGCTCTCCGGCCATCCTCCCACTGCAACCACGCCAGCGCCTCTCCTTCCATGCTGACCACCGCCACTTCTAGCTTCTCCCCCTCAGAGCTGCGGTTGAGGGCGAAGTACCTCTCCGCTCGGAAAATCCACCCGTCGGGATCCTCCCCATCGAACACCGGCACCTCCACCCGCCGCGTCCGCCATTCTCCTCAATTCGCACCGCCACGGCCTGTCGCGTCCTGGCGTCCTCGGACTTCGAATGGTCCTCCACCCCGTCCGTTCAGTCCGCCCGGTGTCATCATTGGGACCGAAGGAAGCTCCCTGGCCGAAGCCGATGGTCCCAGTGTGGACGCATCCCGCTGTCTCAGGAGTTCTTCCAACTTCTCGATCACCATCTCCATGCTCTTCTCCAACTTCGGAATCTTCTTCAAATCCTCCCAAAACGCCTCCTGCAGCTCTCCCTTCATTGCTTCCAGATCGCGCTGGACTTCCTCACGTACCTCCTCCGCTATCTCGTCCACTTTCTTCGTCGGTGCCATCCCATAAATCTTGCTCTAATACCACTTTGATAAGACCAGATCTATTGAGTAGCAATTTCACACAGTAATGCAAGTCAATGGAATGGAATTTGATTAAAGCTGAATTAAGAGAAACTGAAAGAAGAAATACAAGAGATATGGGGGTGTTCGAGCAACCCCTTGCACTCCCTAGAGCAGTAGCTCGTCTAAGACAACTCAATTACAACTTCGATACCCCTCCAGCCTATATCCCTCTGGTTTTATTCCTCTCTTCCTCACTAACCGTTTCTACTCTCCCCTCTCTCTCTCTCTCTCTCTCTCTCGATCTCTCTCTCTCTCTCTCTCGATCTGGGCTTATTACGCCCTCTCTGCAACAACTCCTCCAGCTTTGCTTGCTCCTTCCATGTTAGCCTCCACCTCACCATTTCCCTCAACACCTTTTTCTGCCACATCACCTCAACTGCCTTTGGGCCTCCTCCTGGCGTAAGTGAAACGTAGTGGAGGTCTAGGGGGGCCATCACAATACCAAGGAGTCAAGGACAATCAAGCAAATCTTTTACTGAAACTCTAACTAACAACTGTTTTAGCTTCACTGAACTTTATATAATTAAGGGAGCAAGAAAATTATGTCTGCATGTCATCCCTAAGCAACATCAGTTATAAGTTTAACCTAATTAAAACAACAGATGAATAAGTATCATGTTAATTGTTACGACGAGTTTGGAAAGAGTATTTGGTTAGTATACGTACAAGTATCTCGTCATCAAGATAAGAGATCATAAATAGTCTCTGGAAAGTTCCACCTGCATACATATATCAAATGCTTAGGACGAATTCAAAGTGATAAACAAGTGAGCCTAAAAAGCAAAATACAAGAAAAGAACGCTTGACTAGCATCTACTGAGAATCGAACTGTATCTATGTCTACACACACGTGCACACACACATGCATGCATACATACATACATATATAGATGCATGCATGCATCTATGTATGCATGCATGCATGCATGCATCCACACACACAACACACACATATGTATGTTGATAACTCTAGAATTAGAGTAATCTTAGGCATCTTTAAGCCTAGAGTTTGCTCAACCGAAGGTAGATTTGCATTGTTTTCTTTGTTTTCGTCTTCAATTTCTGGGTTTGGTGATCGGTCATGTTAAAATCTGTATATGTGCTACTTCTGAGGTGATTTTGAAGAAAGTTGAGTCAAAAAAAGGGCTGAGTTATGGTCTTTGCTGTGTTGGTGTAAACTATAGAAATGCTGGAAAATGCTGCAGTAAAATCTAGTAGCTGCAGCAGCTGGGGATGATGTCAGCACACATTTTTGCAAAGGAAAAGGACAAAAGTTCACAAAAGGATGAGGCTGTGCACAGTCATGTGGACCCAATCACTCACTAGTGGCCACCTCAGCATCCTTTGTTGCCCTAGCAAGAAGTACACCCATTTTTAGAAGATAGCAGCCGCAACAACAAAAATAGGAGAGGAAGGACAAAAAGAAAAAAAGTACCAAAGAAAGAACAAGAAGGAGAGTAAGCTAATTGGAGGCCACCTGAAGAAGAAAAAGAAGAAATCAAGGTGGCGTTTGTTTCCTATATTCGTCCCTGATTCTGAATCATGATTCATAGTTCTCTACAGTGTTTTTTTCTCACAAAAAATACACGTAAAACGAGAATGGTTCTGAATTATGATTCTGAATACATAAACCAAACATCCTCCAAGTGATTCAAGCTCTCAAGCAGCTGAAATTTCTTCTATCCCTCTCTGTTATCTTTTATCCTATTTGTACTTTTCTTTTTAATTGAGTGATAAGCCTTTACTCAGGCAAGTGTATATTAGGAAAAATAAGAGGAATTAGAAAGCTTGTTAGGAAAGATTGTCCTCAAGCTTGCTAAGGAAGATTGTTAGTTAAGCTTGCTAAGGAAGATTGTTAGTTTCTAGTAGTTAGTGAATAAGTGAATGTATAAAAGGGAGAAGGAGGAAAGGAGGTTAGGAAAAAGTTTGTTATTTGTTTCTGGGAAAATCTTGGAGTAATCCAAGTAGGGGAGGCAGCAGACCCTCGAAGATCCGCATATCAGTGTTTCATTCTGCTATAATCAATAAAGTTGTTCTTGATTTCCATCTTTTCCAATATTTTCTTACCGATTGTCCTTGAATCTACCAAGATCTTATCATTGAGATATTTGCTGAATAATGGAATATATTGAGAATATGGATTTTGTACTTTCAGCCATGAGCTAAGTATTTCTTGCTAAGATTATTGATGGAACCAAGGTTGTAAGAATGATGGTTAATTTTTTAATTGCTTGAGTTTTTATTCTTGTTCATCTACGTGTACTTAATGCTTATTTCTATTTTTGATTGGCCATCAATTGAATACAAGACTTAGATTAATACTAGAAAGGTTAATTTGAGTTGAATCTAACATGAATGATGCAAGTTCAATATGCTTGTTTAAGTTTGTTGATTTGTAAATGGTATAGGAATATATTATTCATCTTGCATAACTAAATGGAACCAGTGCTGAGATCTGTATTCTGAGAACTAGATTCACATACGCATATGTTGGAAATAGTTTAAAGAATTTAAGTCATAATTAATTTGGAAGAATTTTATGCAAAAAAATTGAGTTTCAGTCAACAAGAATAGAAATGTTGTAGCATTCCTACATCATTTTAAGGCATGACTTACAAGTACAACTGAGGTGAAATCAATAGTCCTAGCCCATTTAATCACTGAATTAAGATCTATAGCTGCATTCTCATTATTTTTACTACTTTTTGCTTGCATTTTCATTGCTGCCATTCTGCCCAATCAGTTTATTGAATTGTAGTTAGTTGATTTTTTTTTTTTTTTTTTTATCAAATTTGGTGTTTGGGGTGACTTGTACATTGATAAGCCTTTACTCAGGCAAGTGTACATTAGGAAGAGCAAAGACTTAGGAAGGGGCAGGGCTTGATCGTGGGAGAGTTATTTTAGCCTTAAGTGGGAACTCTTAGTGTTAGTAGTAGGTTTTCTGGTTAGCTGGCAGGGGAAAAGGAAAGGAAGGAAATTGTATAAAAGAGGAGGTAAGCCGAATGGAGAGGGAGGGGGGGAAATAATCTGGAAGTAGAAAAGTCTTGGAATCATTCCAAGCAAGGGGAGGAAGCAGACCCTCGAAGTTCTGCCTATCTTTGTATAGAATTTGTCCGTCAATAAAGTTCCTTCGTTAATTCATCTTTGATTCTTTTGATTCTTGAATTTACTCTTTCGTGAACTTGTTCCCAAACACCAAGGCCTTATCATACATTTTATTATCGGTGACTCAATCCTCGTGGGATCGACACTTTTATTCACACTTTATTACTTGATTGCGATACATGCACTTGCAACATAAAAATCATGCAACATATGTATATTTACATGTGTGCATGTGTGTGTATAGATGATACACACACCCCTTATACAATCACTTATTTCAAAATCTATCGTACACAATGGATCATATGCGACCAAAGGTGAGTGAAAATATATCACCATCAAGCGCCTTGGAAATTTCCAATACCTAGTAGTAATGTTTTGCATCTACAAGAATAGTACTATAGCAAAAACTATCATGCTGAATGGCAAAGATACTGAGGGTCGAAACCAATATCTAATAGTAATGTTCTGCATCTATAAGAATAGTATTAATAGCAAAAAGTATCATGATGAATGCCTAAGATACTGAGGGTCGAAATGAATCAATATTAGGAACAAAGTAGCAACATCCACGCAGACACCTTTGGACAACCTATGGAGACAGTGATTGAAAACAAAGGCACCAAATCAAATAAGAATATAGGAAATGGTCAACAAAACCATAATATTTCTTACTTAGGGGAAATTTAAGCCCACTAGAGAAAGCATCCCTAACAGGTATGGGAAGTTGTTGTATTGTGCTAGCTGCCTGACCAAGTGCACCTTTTAGCTGATCAGGTACTGTTTCTTCAATCACCTTTGGAGTCTCAAGAACCCCTTCAACATATTCCTCTTTCATTCGAAGTGGCCCTTCGACAGACAATTTAGTTGAAAGAATAAACCTGCACTCTATCTACATTGAGAAGCACGTGGCAAGCATAAAAACAAAGGTGGGATGAAGTGATTTTGGTCAAAAGATTTCGCAGAGACATCATTACTATAAGAACAAAGTTTTTTCATTCGTTGTTTTAAATTTTAAATGCTCCAAGAATCGTTCTTACAATTATCTGCATGAAAAGGGCCTGATAAACCACATGTAAATATTGAAGAATAGGAACTAAAAACTAAAACATTGAGTGTGTGTAGCAAGCAGACATCATTTGTTCTATCAAACAGACTGACAGAGCATAGCCAAACCTTTTAAGCATAGCAATTATTCAGCATCGATATAATAAGAGAACATAACATTCAAAGCATAAAGTTCAATACCGAGTTCAAAAGTCTCGTGTTTGCTGTAATATTTGCATATGCATCCTTGATCACTACATCCATTTTTGACAAGTTAGCTAAGTTCGGGGGAAATCTCCTGCAACATTTCGGGGACAAGAACACAATTAGCCGATTTCTACTACAGTCCAATCCAATGGAAACGGCAACATTTCAACCAGCCATGGTTCCCATATAACCAAGAGGAAGAAATATATACACATAAATAACTCACTCAAATATGAATCTGGCAGCAAATAAACCAGGGCTTCTAGACCCGAACCACTCAAAATTCCACCGACCTTCTAAGAAGGGCGACCTGAGTAGCTGAACAAACAAGTGAATATCCAACACAACAAGAAGCTTGCTCAAAATCCTCTGTGCTTAAATAAACGCTTACGTCGTTGGACGAGGTGTCGGATTGAGCCGCTCAAGCCCAGTTATTCTCTCATTGACGTCAATCATGTGCATATCAGTTGTCTTTCCAGATACTAACGCCTCAAAACCCCCAGCATCTTTAAACTGAAATCAAAACATGCTCATAAATTCAGATTTCTTAATCATTGAAAACCAAAATAGCATAAGAATTAAATCATTCACCCCCTAAAAAACCAATTTCAAGCAAAAACTACTAGTCATTATCAAGTGAAAGACACAATTAGCTTAAAAAAAAAATTGAAATGGGGCGTTAAAGGGGGGGGGGGGGGGGAGGGAGCGATTAAGAAGAAAAATTCAATTTCAAAGCTAAAACGAGTAGTCATTACCAAAATAGAACACAAAATTAAGTAAAAGTAGTGCATTAAAATCACTGAAAGTCCTTAAAAAAAATCAGTGGAAGTGATTAAGAAAAAAAAATCCTAATCTCAAGCTGAAATACCAAGTTATAAATCGAACGAAACAAATGATTAAGACGAAATAGCAAACTGAGTTTCACGGCGAGAATTAACCATTTTGTAAATGAAAAAAAAAATCCTGATTTCAAGCTATAATGCGTCACTCACAGGGGAAGCAAGCAATAAAGGAAAAATCCTGATTTCACTATTAAATTTTTGGTAGAAATTTAAGAGAAAATATAGCAGTCATTATCAGATCAATCGCATGAGTAAAATTAAAGAAAAGCAATTAAGATTCACAAAATAACATTAAAAAAATCCCAATTTGAAGCTAAAATAGGTAGCCATTATGGAATTCGACACGCAATTAAGCGGAAAAATGTACACTTTGAGAGTAACAAAATAGACACTATGAAATTAAAGACTCAAGAGACAAAATTCATTATAAAAATCCAAATTTAAAGCTAAAAATAGGCAGTCATTATGGAATTCAACACACAATTAAGCGAAAAATTCAAAATTTGAGACTAACCGCGAGAAGAAGCGATTCTTTAGCAGACAGCCTCTCCATTTCCTTGGCGTAGGCCGCGGGGGCACCCTGTACGGTCTGCTGGACCATGGCTCGGCAGGCCAATCTCTGGCCGACGCCGGGGCTTCTCCGGTCGGTCTCCGGCAACATGGTGAGGGAGGTGGTGGTCGGCGTCAAGGAAGAAGACGACGACGAGCAACAAGAACGGATAGCGGAAATTGAGGAGAAAGAGGATTGTAAGGACGCCATTGAAGAGGCTGTGTAAGTTCAGGAAGAGAAGAGAAGACGAGCGTCAAAGGCTGTTGACTATTTGTGATACGTTTGAAGTGGAAATCAAAGGGAAGCGATTTTTGTTATAATGGGAACAAAGTTATACTCTATTTTTTTTTTTTTTTTGGCAGAGGTGGGTGGTGGTGGCGGTGACGGCTGGCAGTGAAGGGGCCAGGGGTAGTTTCGTCATATGGGAAAACTCTTCGCCTGGTTACATTTGAATTATTTATATTTATTTTGAGCTTGTTCTTTTGAAGTTTAACTTGAGTATAATTCTTGAATTGAATTTGAGTTATAATTTGAGTTGAACTTATAACTTGAGTTTGTGTTTGGTTGTATACATTTGAGTTATGGTTTGAGATAAGAATCTTTTTGAGTTTGTGTTTGAGTGAGTCAAAACTTGAATTTGTATTTAAATAGTATTTTAATAAAGACTCAATGCTGATAAAAAATTTTAATAGGGTATATGGATTGGGTTTTATTCGTCTTTTCGTTGTCAACGCATAGAAAAAAAATCATCTCAATCAGAATTAAAACGAAAAAGTTATAGCATTTTTAAGAATAGAAAAAATATTATTCATTAATTTGAGTTCGAGTTTCTGAACTCGAGTTGAAAGGGAAACTTGAACTCGAGTTTTAGTCCTAAATTCGAGTTTGAACTCGAGTTTAAACTTAAAAGAACATGAACTCGAATAAAGTTATAACTAGAGTTGCATTTTTTTGAGTTTTTCACTCAAAAGAACAAGCCATTTGTTTTTAAAGGTGGGTGGTGATGATGAGTTTAAAATTTGGATTTAAAAATGAATTTATGTAAGAGGAAATATTATAATAAATGAATTAATTTAATTTTTTGTGAATGAAAATATTATGGCCTCGTTCATTTCGTAAATTTGAATTTTTAATTCGAGTTGAAAAGTAATATTTTTTTAGAGTTTTTCACTGTAGCAGAAAAAGTTAGATGTGACATTTTTTGAGACCTTTTTATTATAGAAACTTAGAATTGAAAACTCGAATCGGTGAAATGAACGAGACCTATGATAAAAATTGAATTTTGATTCGAATAGTGAAAGTAACGCACTTTACTTTTTTATTACAATTAAGAAGTTCAGTTTAGTTTCATCATTGTTGTCTTTGTACAATTTTACTCTTTTGTTCCCTTTCTGAAACTGATGTGGTGTTTGGTTCATGGATTCAAATCATGTTATTAGAATTATTTTCGATTTACGTGTATTTTTTATGAGAGAAAATACTGCAGCGAACCACGAGTCATAATTCGAATCAGGGAACGAATCTAGGTACCAAACGGACTCTGAATCAACTTAGAAATACTTTTCTTAACAAAATAGTTGTAACTCTTTTTTTATTTGAGAATTTTTTTTGTTCTTTTCGTAATTAAGTAGCATTTTGATCTCCCACCAAAAGAAAACAAAAAAAAAACAAATGAAAAAAGGAAAAAGAAATTCTGAAAAATGAAAAATTGTTAATTTCAATAATAGTACTCGTGAGTAAATAATTATTAATTTTAGTACCACTTTTGTATACTTTCACAATTAGCATTGTCTTGTTAGTAAAAATGGTATCAGACCGTTATTACTTGAGTTAAAATGACAATTTTACCTCATTTCAGTTTTAAAGCCTTGAATATATATTATGAAGCCTTTTCTAATTCAAATATTGAAAGCAGAGAGAGGAAGAGAACGAACGCAGGTGTGCAAAGAGACCAAGAAACCCCAACGACCACCACCGTCTACCACCGTCCTATCTACCACCGTCTAGCACCGTCCTGTCTACCACCTTGAGCACCGACGAACCCACGACAGTGAAAACCCACGACAGCGAGAACCCACGCAATCACGCGACAAGAACCGATGAACCTTCGCCGGAGAAATCAACGTCTAAACATCTTCGTTGGAGAAGAACGAACCGAGGAAACCTCCCCCTCTTCGCTGGAGAAATCAGCCACGAAACAGACGAGGTCAATGGTGGATTCTGAGACAAAGGTGAAAACTTTGTTGGCTTTTCTTGTTTATTTGTTTTTTTTTCTTAAGCATTTATTGTTTTTTTATTCTTTTATCATTTTCTGTCATCTTAGAATAAAAGAAAGGCTTTGGAGGAGGAGATAAAAGCAGATAAGGTCAGTTATTTAAAATTTTTGGGGGTCATTAGATTATCATTGTGCTCCTTACTTATTTGGTTTGTGACTTTGCCTGATGGCTAGTCATATCATTATGACCGCTTTGTAATTTTATTATGACCGGTCATAAGACGGGCACATCGTCCGATCATAATAATTATGACCGACGGTCATAATTACTATGACCGCCCATTAGGCAGGCAGGCGCATAGTACGATTGTATGACTGATGAGTCTGCGATCATAGCATTATGACCATCGGTCATAGTAATGTGACCGCACAATTGTCAGGTTCTTAGTGCGGCAGTCATAGCACTTATGACCGCTGGTCATAATACTATGACCGAACGAACAATTGTCAGATTCTTAGTGTGTTAGTCATAGTACATTGGTCAACAACTTTGTTTGCTTTATTATTTTTTTATATATTTATTGTTTTTTTAGCAATGTTTGTCATCTTAGAAGAAAAAAAAGACTTTGGAGGAAGAGGTGCCTTTAGAGGAAGATAAAGCAGATACTAAGGTCAGTTATTTAAAATTTGTGAGCTTCATTGGATTGTCATTGTGGTGGAACTCGTAACATTGTATGGTGGAACTAGTAATATTATACAATTACTAACATTATAGTCGGTCATAATATTATAACCGTCCGGTCATTTAAGTATGACTGGCCCATAAGGTGTGATATGTGTTTTTGTCTGTGTTTTTTATTCGCCTTGCCTTTATATTGGCATGACCGGTCTTATTAGTATTATTACAGTTCATAAGAATGGTTCTGAACGATGACATCAAGAAGGATAAAATAAACCGTACTGTTAACTGTGAGGAAACAATGGGAATACTACGGCAGGGTCTTACACGGACTCATTTTGGGAAGTTGCAGCTTCAACCTGCCGTAGTGAACTTTTTGAACCTCTAGAAGCTTAGGTGGGTTGGCCAAGTTGTCTATAGTGTTATCATGCGCTTGGCCGCTATTGATGGGAAAACAAATGACTCTTTATTATTTGCCATTGGGGATGACATCGGGCGATTTTTCATAGCTGAGTATGCCCGCATCACCGGTCTTAAATGTGTTGGTTCAACACACTTGAAGCCTGTGTCTTCTAAATCCCGCCTCCACAAATGGTACTAGAAAAATCTATCGTACGTCACGAGGGCAGCCATTGAGCAAACACTATCCGGCCCCAACACAAAATATGACAGCGATGATGATACAGTCGGGATAAGGCTTGTGTACGTGCTTTCCAGCATTATACTATCCAATGCGAAAACAGTAAGAATTCCAGATACCTATGTTGAGTTAGTCAACGACCTAGAAGCATTCAACAAATGTCCTTGGGGGATTCCTTCATGGGAGATGATAAGAGATAACATCAGGTTTGTAGTAATGAACAAGATTAAGAGCAAGGGAAAAAGAGCTGGAATGCACTACAATCTCATCAATTTCCCTCATGCACTATTGGTCTGGGCCTTCGAGAGCATTCCAAAAGTAGGAAAGAATTTCGCTACATATCTCGGTGAGCACACTCCAAGAATGCTTTCGTAGTCTTCAAAAGACCAGGTGTTGTACAATGACGTTAGGCGGGTCTTTACACTTGGCACCAAGCACGGAAAGGTAAGCTCATCATACACATTTAGTCATCTTCGATGTACTTACATTTTAATAACTCACTGTTTTTGTTTTAATAACTCATTTACGTACATTTTATGCAGTATGTCTTTTATATGGTGACACCCACTGAGGAAAAACTATAAAATCCTGACATAGTCGGCTTGTATCCTGGAAGAGAAGAGAAAAAGAAGGTGGTGGCAAAAAGGACTGCGCCACTCACTGAGCCAATCCCTAAGACAAAGACACATGCCGAATCCTCTAGGAGAAAGGCTAGTTCTTCTTTAAATGATTTTGAAGAAAAAATGTATGCTGAGGTGAAGTCAGTAAAAGACAGGTTAACTATGTTTGTAATTTGTCATGAATGTTGGCCTAGTATGTTGTGTTATTAATATACTAATTAGTGTGTTGTGTAATAGGCAAAGGAGGAAGAGGGGGAGAAAAAGGAGAAAGAAGAAGAAGTAAAGGAGAAAAATGAAGAAGCAAAGGAAGAGGAGGAGAAGAAAGATGAGCAGAAGGAGAAGGAATAGGAGAAAAAGGAGAAAGAAGAAGAAGCAAAAGAGAATAAAGGTAAGCTGGTAATCTCTTATGTTGGTATGCATGTTAGGTCTCATTGAGTGTTTTTCACTGCCTTATGTGCAGTCATATTGTTATGGGCGGTCATAGTGTTATGACTCTCCGGTCATAAAACTATGACCGCCCATAAGGTAGTCATCGCATGGGTGGTCATACTAATATGACCGACAAGCCATATCACTATGACCACTCATAACCAGAGTCATAGTGTTATGACTTTTAAGCCATTATTGGTTTATTTAGGCTTATATGACTGTGTATAAATAAAAAAGAATGAGCCGAGTCGTCCAAAAAGGACCCGTAAGCCAACTCAATACCTAATCGAATTGAGCCCTAACAAGGGTGATGTTACGAGGAGGATGGCTGGGCCGTTGAAGAAGGTCAGGATTTCGGCTCTTCCTGAATATATTTCAGAAGCCCCTGCACCAGGAACATTGGTGGTATTTAGGGAATGGCTTAAAAAGAGCTTGCTTAAAAGGGCTGGTCCCGGGTAAGTCTATTATAGTGATATTTGAGGTATTTCATTTCATTCAACTATATTAATATATGGCCGGTGTGATGTGATTAATTTCAGGAACCGTCCTTCCCATTACACGAGCCATGTGGACAAGTGGGACGTCGAATATGACATGGGCATAATGCGTGTAATGCAGAAGTCGTGGTTCTACGAGTTCGCAACTATGGCAGTATGGTTGTGGGATGATGTAAGTTACCTGAATCAGTTCATTTTGTATATTACTGATTCCACAATTAGATCTGCATGGCCACAGT